GCAACTTTTTCTATCCATAGAGCATAGTAGAAAATGTATGAAAGATTGCCTTGTACTGTTGCAGTAAATTTTTCCATAGAGCCTTTGTTCTTTCATTACACTGTTGCCTTGTACTGTTGCCTTTTTAGTAAAGAGCCTTTGCTCTTTCATTACACTCAGGGACACCCAAATTATCACATCTGTCTTCTTGCATATACTTTGCATGTTGTGCCTTGTATGTTATGGAGATGTTCTTGTCAGATTCTTTTGTTCCCCATATCATGTCCATGGGTGTAAATGCTTTTCAAAAGCAGTGTGTTTCTTAAAGTGACTGGAAAACAGTTTGTTTCCCTCGATCTTCGTTTTGGTTACCTTGTGTTAGAAGTTTTGGTCTGCTTGTTAATATTTTGATACCATTATTGTGCATTAATTTTGATAAAACTGTAGCCTAAGAATAATACGTATATGTACACATGGCATATTATGATTGGGCCTACATGCCCACATACAATTAAGCTACACAGATAAAAAAATTCTCCTTTATTCTTCACATTTTTTTTAAACCTTTTGGTGCATTAAGTTGATGATTATGCTCAAGATAGTGTAGTATTGCTTGTTGAGATTGTAATTCCAATAATGTGCAGAATTATTTTGACATTACCTGACAATGATATTCAATCTGAGCTTTCCTAGCAATATTCTTAAGCGACTTCTTTCACCTTCTGGTGCTCAAAAGTTCAATTTGTTTGTTTATTGACTAGTTTGCCTAGCTCCAGTATAGGGGATCTATTGGCATATGCAACCCAATTTAGTGGATCACCCTCAATCAAACCATCCTTTTTGTTTGTGTACTTCGACTAGTTTCTTTAACCCATAGGAACTTGAGAAGCCAACTCTTAGATTGTTTGTGTACAGTGTATTCTGTATAGTGTAGCCACTGCAAACTCATGGTTACTCCTCCAGTTGCAATATTTTCAACGGTATTTCTGAAAGACTGCACCCAAAATGTGGAACATTTCTTAGTCAAGGGGGTTATGCATCATTTATCCAAAGTGTAACTGCCATTACACGATTACAATGGGACTCTCCCTAGGGAAGCTTGCACTGCTATATTCTTGTTGGCTCAGTCCCCAGCTTCTCCCAACCAAAGAAGTTGCACCCCCATACTTTTCTATTGGCGCCCAAATCCTTATCAGACAATAGCATTGGCCGAGCTCTCTTCTCCTTCCTCCTGCTGGCATGTCGGGTGTGTCCCTTGTAGATCTTAGTCCTGTTTAGCGACATGATTGGATCCGAACTAGGCCTTATAAAGCTGAGATACAGGTTATGCTTCTGATCTGAACTGCTTATGAATTTATGATTTACAATAAATTGCAGGCAGGTTGATTGGAGATATAAACCTAAATGCCTAATTTGACAAAGGTTTTCTCGTTTCAGATAGAATTTAAGGTTCCTGATATGCAATTAGAATTGGCCACAGCTGTATAAATATTTAAATACACTTTTAGAAGAAAATTAATTGAAGTAAAATCTGGGTGTTCGTTGTAAATCAGAGATATCTACAAGCACACTAGTTGTAAATCAGAGAGAAACACACTAGCACTGGTTAATCAAAGAGATATTTGTCAGAACAGTGGGCGTATTGCTTTCCCAAAAACAGTGCTCACTGCTCACCATTGGCAGTCAGGTAAGAACGTAAGAATGGGTTTCTTTATTAATAAAAAAAAAACATAAGATTGGGCGAAGATACAGATATAGAGTGCCATGTAATGTTTCCACCTGTATGAAGAACCAAGGAAAAACAGAAATCATACGTTTCCTCAATTGAGGAATTTCAGGTGTGTAATTTGAACTACTCACTCAAGCATACTCCCAGTGATCACCAGCTGTATAAGAAATCATCTATTCCTTTCCATTAATTGCAAAACCTCAATGCCAAGTACTTAAGATTACATTGTTGACCATAATGATGTTTAAAAATCTATTGTTTGATACATTTGATGGTCACCAAAGATGATCCATATGAATTGTTGAACATATGCCAATTGATATACTGTTGTTGAACACAATGTTTTGATGATATAGTCTCTTATATGCAATATATTCAACAACTGTATATAATGTGAAATCGAGAAATGAGGACAATAAATGAAACGAGGAAAATAAATGAAACGGACCCAAAATGTGGTGATATCAAAATTAGTTTAAAAAAAAAATCAATCAAATTGTATTGTACATTATATTCAGCGACTGTATATAATGTGAAATTGAGAATGAGAAATATAAGTGAAGCCGATCAGGTGAAATCAAAATTGGTAAAAAAATCAATGAAATTGTATTATGAGAAATAAGGGCATCTTCAATGCTACACTAAGTTTAATGTGCCACCTAAGCTAATTTCTAAAGTTAGGAGCACACTAAAAAAAAGCAACACCAATGCTTCACTAGCATTTCATTAACCATTCACTATATATATGGGACCCACAGATTAAATAAATCAAAAAAGTTATAAAAAAAAGAGTCCAAGCGAGATTACAAATTTCGCGCGATGTTAAGAGTGTCGTTTGGTGTAAACAATTGTTTTTTCCTTCTTATATCTCTCTCTCACATGGGACCCACACATTAAAATAATTAAAAAAAAATATAAGCGAGATTGTGAGCATCGCACGATGTTAAGAGTTTCGCTTCTTTAGTTAGTGTAACACTAAAATTTCCTCTAACTTAAGTGGAACTCTAGTGAAATTTTAATGAATTTCTAAAGTTAGTGTAGGATTAAAGATGGATTTTGGAATTTTTTAGTGAAAACACTAAGTTTAGTGTAGCATTGGAGATGCTCTAAGAAAACTAGATCATAGCCACTTCCCCGATATACAGTAATCAAAGAAATAACAATCAGTACACATGGGATGAGAAATTTTGTACAGAAGTTCATAGGTATGCACAGGGTTTGAAAGAATTTTGGTATGAAGTTTAGATAGAACTGGGCATGACTTTAAGTTCAAGAGTCAAAAAAGCATGGACTAAAAGGGCTCAGATTATCTTGTAGTAGAGATCCACAAACAAATTAGTAAAAATGGCTGATCGAGTACTGACATGTTGAGAAATGTGTCAAATCGCAAGTGAAATGGAAAATGTGTAAAAAGAACCATGTTTTGTCATATACCTTTCAACTAATGACAGAAACACCTTACTGCAATGCCGAACCTGCACCTCATGGATCAGCTAGCCAGAGAAACAATGGAGAGAAATTCCCACTCCCTGTGCAAGCACATAAAAAATTGAAAAAAAAAACGCACACTCCCTACGCAGGCATTATCCTGTTCAGGTTCAAAGGGACTTTCTCAGCCGGCCCTGCCCATACCCAACCAAATGGCTGAGCTTGAAGCAGATACAGGCACCCCTGGTGCTTTTATATGTCAACAATAGACAACTGGAATAAATAATTCAAAAAACAGTTTATTACTGAAAGGTTCCAAACAAAGACACAAATATCTGTTTTGAGTCTCTTAACAAAATAAAGGATTCACTCACCCAAAGCCAGCATTTCAGACCAAGACCACAAGTCACTTTATTCAAAATAAAGTTCACTCTTCAAGGCTCCGAGCAGTCACGATACCATTCCTGGAAGAAATATGGAGTTAGCAAATGATGGCAGAGACAACATCTAGCAGATCACTAAACAAACTATGCTTGTAAGCTAATACATAGAAAAGTCATTGACAAAGAGGTTCCTTGAGATATTTTTATTTTTTTTGACAAGTAGTTCCTCGATACTTTGGTATATCATATTAATACGAATACTGTGAAAACAAAAATTTGCTATCATCCGTCCATATATCCAATAGAACTTGATAAGTTCAGTGCCATATATTTCATGGCAAGTAATGCATTAGATTAACAATGAAAGTGTATCCCATTAAGTCAGCTAAAATGGAATGATAAGCTTACAATGACAGGTATTGCAACCATTTTTCAGCTAAAAAGAAAAGATAAAAGTGGTTCAGAAAATGTTGTGCTCTGCGTCTGATAAATCTAGGCTGGATGATTTACCAATTTGTAGCATATTATAGAAGAACGTAATTTCAGAAGTCTTACACAACAAACGGCCAAAAATAAGATAAGTTACATTTTAATAACAGAAAGGCTAAGAGCACTGACCTTCATCTCTCTAATTGGCCGGCAACATAACTCGCAGGCAAATAGATTTCTCCTCCTACTTCACCATGTTGTTCCCCACTCACAGTCTTCTTAGCAGACAAAAACTCTGCACTCATTGCATCCATTCCATGTTGCACAGCTTCCTCAGCACTGCCATACCCATGCTCCTCAGCATACTTCCGAACATCCTCCGTTATCTTCATAGAACAAAATTTAGGTCCACACATAGAGCAGAAATGTGCTACTTTGGCACCATCAGATGGCAGGGTTTCATCATGGAACGACATGGCAGTCATAGGATCCAGTGACAGAGCAAATTGATCCATCCATCTAAACTCAAATCTTGCCTTACTCAGTGCATCATCCCATGCTTGAGCATGTGGGTGACCCTTAGCCAAATCTGCTGCATGGGCAGCTATCTTATATGCTATAACCCCAGCCTTGACATCATCTCGATTGGGTAAACCAAGATGTTCCTTCGGTGTCACATAACAAAGTAGTGCAGTTCCAAGTGCACCAATATTAGCAGCACCAATGGCTGATGTGATGTGGTCATACCCAGGAGCAATATCAGTCGTCAATGGTCCAAGTGTATAGAAGGGGGCTTCATTGCACCACTCCAACTGTTTTGCCATGTTTTCAGGGATTTTATGAAGTGGAATATGCCCAGGTCCTTCATTCATTACCTAAACACATGCAATATATTCTAAATTAGAGGAGAAAGAAAAAGCAAGAATATGAATATTATTTCCAAAGGCTGCGCCAACACCAGTTAAAAA